GGGCTGGTTTAGACAGGAGACGCGGCACTTCTCCATTGTTGGAGCTTGTACTAGCATAAGGCCAACACACCTCATTTGCGCCGTGCCGAATGAGTGCTCTTTCAGTAAGCTCGAAAGCCACTTGCATATCTGGGACTCAAGCTGCCCTGGCCAACCGTCATGAATATCTTTCAAAACCTTGCCATGAAGCTTACTACACCGTGTCATCTCGAACAAGGGGAACCATGCCAGGGGCTACTCTGGATTCCCAGCACATGGCAATCTCTCCGTTCTTCTCCTCAGTCGAAGGCAGCCAAGGATACTCAACATGTCCTTTTCAGCTTGGCAGTTGGGTTACCCTTCTCGGCATCGAGCAGGCCAAGCTGACAGCCTTGCTGGTTGGCGACCTGCCGGCCATGCCTGGTGCCATACCGCATTGGTGTGCTTCGAACACTTGGAGTGCTTCGCATATCGTAACAAATAGCAGGACATCAGGACCTGCATCTTGTGAGCAAACCTTATTTCTGTGGTGCTAGATTACCTGCATTTGGAATTTCATTAGCTTTGAGAGACCAGGAACAGGCTGCCAGGAAACCAGCCTTGTGGCTGTCCTGGGAGTGAGTCGGTGCTGTTCACAAAAGACATTTTCACAGAATCAACCAATGTCCTCAGATGTGGTCGCCGGCCATGTCTGGTCAGGCACGTTGCGAGGGTCCACCAAGGCATTGAAGCTTTGACCGTTGAGGCCTCCAAGTTCAAGAGCGAGGGGAAAATACAAAGTTGAAGGAGAACAGGAGGGAGATAGTGGATCAGTTGGTCAGCCAGCTAGTTATACAATTGGTCAAATTCATAGATATCATAGATAAAGAGATAAATATAATGATAAAGTGATGTGGACATAGAATGAGTCCCGAGCTAATCACCTCTTCTTTTCTTTCATCTGCATCTATCGCACCTGCGTCTAGAAACCTACAGCAAACCACTTCAGGATTCACATTTTGCATCGGATCATCGGAGTTGATCGGCTCGCTGGGGTCCAAATAGAAGGTGAACCGTAGCTGTGGATCCACAGTGAAGTAGACATCCTCCAGCATGGCTGAGGCAAAGTAATAGCCTGAAATACATTGAAGCCATTTCTCACGACCTCAAAGTTTAACAGATTCAGATGATTCGAATAGTTGTTCAGATTAGGAGGAAGCTCAAAGTGTCGTCACACATTGCCAGGTTGGATTTGGATTGAAATTACAGATCCTGGAAAATAAACAATTCTAGGCAGTCTTGCCATTTGCATATCTCTTCGCATCTGCGAAAGAAGCATCGTTGGTAGTTGATACGGACACCTTATTCATCACTGTTGTAATCACCTTTCTCAACTGCTTGATGATCCGATATGCCACAACCATAATAGCGTTGTTCTGGGAGCAGTTTTCTTGTATCAACCTGGCTACCTGGTCGGTTCACCCACTGATTGTTTCGGAATTGCTCCAAAACTTGATGCAAAGGTACAATAACGTAGAAAAGAATTTCTAAAAGAATTTCAATCAAGTGACTTCCTTCCTTGGCCCAAAGATCCTGCCGGGAAGTGAAATTCACAGCATCGCAAGTCATCAACTCCGCATCAGGACAACTCGCTGCAGCGGCCACCGGTGACAAACGATCAAAGATGGCTGTCACAACTGCGTCCACAATAACCTGATTCACAAATTTGGAGATGTGCAACGAAGTGCCGACCAAACCTGGAAAAATCACGCCAGTACAACAACCCCCCTTATGCACACCATCACACCAGCACCAAATCGCGCACTGCCATAGACATCTGGCAGCAACCCCGCAGCGGCACCCAAGCTCCAAACAAAACAAACATTTGGCCGGCACCCTGTAGCAGCACAAGCACACTCCACACCCTGACAGCTACACCCTGCAGCGGCACCAACACCCAAGCTCCAAAGCGCACACTGTCATGGACATCTGAATCTGGCAAGAACACCCTCAGCGGGAAACTCCAGCGGCACCAGCACCAAGCTCCAAAGCCACAGTCAACGGCACACTGCAGCGGAACCAACCCAAGCTCCAAAGCGCACTTGGGTCCCTGGGTCATGCACATCTGGCAGCGGCTCCATGTCTAGTGCCGTCGACACATCATCAAGCGTGGCTCAAGGGCAAATCCAGATGCAAGTGTTGCAGGACTTGGTGCGCAGCGGCCTGCAGCGACACCAACTCGCAGGCACCTAGACCTATACTTGAAGTAGAAAGAACCCCAATAGCTCTTGCTACCTTGGGGAACAATTGCATTCCAGACTCCAGATGTCTTGTCTGTCTTAGCTTCTATGGCCCAGGATGACCTGTTTGAAGTTGACCATACCCAAAGCGACATGTTTATGCACCCTGCTGCGGCAAGGTGCAGCGGAACCAGCACCTAAGCTCCAAAGCGCACACAGGCACCTCTTTCCTATACTTGAAGCAAGAACCCCAATCGCTGTCGCTATCTGGGGAATGATTACCAGCAATTCTCAGTGATACTTAGTGCCAGTGAGTCCCAGTGGCACGTTTCGAGGTTGCCTCGTTGATCCATTGACACACCTGGGCCTCTGTTTCCGCCGCATTCACTGCTGCAGGCTCACTGGAGCGAAGATCGCAACCAATTCGCAGCAGTGTGGCAGCCTTGACCTGGGAGCGGGATGGATCGATAGACGAATGGGTTCACTAGAATAATAAATTCTCATACAAGTCTATATAAGGAGTGGTCGATGGGATGGGATTGGATGTCTCCGAACTCATTCATGCACATGAGCATGAGTGGGAGATGCCAAGAGTTGCCGTCTTCCCTTGTGCTGGTTGAGAAGCCTTCTCTACAACGGCTTTCCTGATACTTAGTTTCCAGACTTACATCGGTCTCCACTTCACCCATTTCTCGTGGTAGAAGTGTGATGAGTGGGTCTGCTTTCATGCACCAAGAGACCGTCTTCATTTGCTTGGTCTGCTCAGTGCCAGCTGTGTCCGAGAGCTGCAGTCTCAAATGGAAAGGCAAACCTCGAGCTAAGATGCTGCTTTCTTTCAAAGTCACTTCGATAGCTCCATCCTCAGGGGCACCATTCGGCCCACCAAAAAGAAAGTTGGATGAAATCCATGGTCTAACAGAAACTGATGCTTCAACCCAATACTTTTCCCGCGCGATCAAGAAATTCAAGAAGCAACACCTGGACGTGACTGTTGGGGAAATACTGTGGCGCTGTAGTTCTTTGATGATCGGTGTCAAGGATGTCATGTCAAACTGCTGATCAGTAGCCAGACATAGTCGTTGAAGGATTTGGTGCATGCAAGTAGAGGTTGCATATCGTTTTTCCCCAACTCTAGCTCCTCTTGCAGCACTGGAGCCGACGCGTTGTAGGCTTCAAATTCGAAGACCTTCGGCAGCACTGCCGAAACCAAGCATGGCAGCAGTTGATATGCTCGCCCCAGCCATCCCAGCGCCACCAAGTTTTGGAACTGGCGTCGCAAATCTGCTCTTAGCCTCGACTGGAGCTTAAGCACTTCGCAATTCTCACGAACCGCGAAAGCAAATGAGGATGAAGGTTTGGAGTTTGGAGGACCTTCTTACCAAAACAAAGAGCATTCCTACTAGGAGCAAGAATACTACTAGTGGCTCTTGGCATCGCTACTAGGAACCTGGGCATCGCTACTAGGAGCAAGGACGCTACTAGTAGAGTGAATCCGAAGGAATGCCAGAGCTCATTCCCTTATTCCCGGGTTCCTAGTAGCGATGCCAGGAGCCACTAGTAGCATTCTTGATCCTAGTAGCGATGCCCTTTGCCATTTCTTCAAACCGTTACAACAAGGATGCTGTTGGATCCTCCACTAGTCCAAACGGGGACACCGCTGCAATGATATGAGTGAGAGTGAATCTGATGAATTTGCAAAGGTTGGCTAGGTGAATTCTGCTTGTCGTGAGGTTGGAGCTAAAGGTCAACAGGGTGGCATTTCAGAGTCGCCATTTGATGTTGGTAGAGAGCCATGGCATGGCTTGACTTAGCCATATGCCACGGCTGTGGCTTGAAACAGTGGATCCAGACAGTTTGCTGATTTGAGCTGATGGAAGCCTCAAGGGCAGTCTGCCAAAAGGATGAGTAAAACAAAGCCGAACGGCGACACTGTCAATATGGTGTTTCATGATGGCACAAATAAGAATAAGTCCACTCCCGTTGGATTTGTGGCCAACTGCCATGGTGCATTTCAGGCATGCTTGACGCAAAGCATCTTGGTCCAGCAAGGCTGTAGGGCTTCAAAACAAATAGCAAGGCTGCAAGCACTGCGAGCGCACTGTAACGCCATTGGCGCCGTGGTGCGACTCGTGGCATGGTCAAATCATGGTGGCTTGTGAAGAATGAAAAGCTCTTTTGAGTTGGAGATGATGCTGTGCAACCATAAGTTATTTGAAGGAAATGGGAACCCCACTGACAACAAAAGCACTTTCGTGCACGCTTGTAATGTATGCTTATAGTTTCATTGTACATGTTTAGCATCATTGACATTATAGTACAAAGCAATTGTCTTACAACACATAAACACAATTGTCGTTCTAAGTCGATGCTGGTGATGCGGACAATTTATTCGCATAACCCTCATAACAAAAGTTATGTTAAATGTGTAATTTAACACATTGAAAAAGAATCCACAATATCAAGAACCCTGCCTTCTTCAGTCTTCCAAGCAGTAGATATGTGCCTCGATTGCCACACAACAGCCCACTGCAGCTTGAAGCGTCGACTCTAGGCCCTTACCCTTGGAGCACAGAAAGTGCGAGCGCTGGTCTCATGCAGCAGCCATTTAGAGTCCAGATGCAGCGTCTTGGAAGAAGAAATCAACAACAACGCTCAAATTAGTGAAAGAAACTGCCTGGAATTTCACTTGCAAAAGCCCTTGAGCCAGTGTGGCTACATCGTGGAATGCTTGTTCTGCTCCTGCCTGAACAATGCCCAGCTTATGCATCCGCTCAGCGAGCCAAGCAAGCACTCAAACGAGTCCTGGAAGGCATCAGTTCCCATGGCACCAGTGGGAACTTGCCCAGAGAAGACCACCATCGGCACGCCATCAGTCAAAGCATCCTGACAAAAAGCGAATCTTTGAACATTCCACAATGTCTGATTGTCATGGTGTCAGCTTGCGGTTTGAAGAAGCCGTTGAACTACAGTCGCTATTGGCTAAGACTGAGCCCTTCAGAACCATACCTGCATTGGAGTCACCATGTTGGTCAAGCCAGGACCGCTGGTGACAATGGCCTTAGAGGCTGTGGCAATCAAACGATGAAAACAAGGATATGATATCTTCCTGAACTTTCTTGGGGAGCCACAACGCCAAACTTTCCCGTGGACTTCGCATATGCAGCTGCCGAATGACCACTGCACCTGACGATGAAGGTGCATTAATGCCAACTCCAAAATGATCACAAGTGCCGGTGCTGGGCTGCAAACTGCTCATGCGCGGATGTTATCCACTTGATGTTCTTGCCGTGGAAGGCATCGATGAGCGGCAATACTGCACCTTGCAGAAATCATGTTGATCCAACTTTGAACTTTCGGCCTGGTCCTGCTCACGATCAAGCTCTTTGAGTTCCATTTCATGTTTGCATCTCTTTTTGATGTAGCCATCAGCTTTCCGATTGTAGCAACTGGCTTTGTTGAAAAGGGGCACTGTGAAGAAGCTGCTGGGTGCTGTGATGCACAAAGGCATGAAGAATTAGTAAGGGCTCAAGCCGCACAGTGCGAGAAGTAAAATTGTATGGCCAAGGCCAAAGCCATAACACTGCCGCGACTCAGATCAGCACAGCCAACGACCACAGCAAGGTCAGCACAAAAGGCACCCGAGCTTGCAAGCACCCAAAAGCAAATTATAAACTTATCATAAAACCATGAACTCCTGTCCAAAGGGCACAAAGGGCTCCCCGCGGGTGGATGTGCATTTTATGATCCCAGTTTCAGATGCGGCCGTGCAAAGTCTGGGGGGTTAACGGCCCTTCTGCAAGGATGCTCCTTCACATTCATGCGCAGTGTCTGGCCAAACCTGGTTGCCGCAGCAAGCCCCGAACTTCTCCCAAGCCCAAGCACAAACGGCATTCTCCTGCATTCTCCTCAACAGCTTTCAACAAACGCCTGTGAGCAACTCTGTCATGGCAAGTTTGCGGTATCGAGAGCTGACTGTGCCACTACTCACTTACATAAGCTTTTGTCATGAGGAGCAAACTCCTGCATATCATTCGTGCACGCCACTACAGCAGCGATTCATGTGTGTCATAGTCGTGTGTATGCCGCAACTCATTGTGTGTACTTCCATCAGTATGGCGCAATTCTATTTAAGCAACTTTGAACAAAGAAAGCCGCCATCTTTGCAAGTTCCTGGGGCCCTTGCCACCACTGTATCCAAAAACAGTATCGACACCATGCTCAATGAGCATGTTGAAAATGACCTGCAGCTTCATTCTTCGATTCGCAACCCAAGAGAACATGGTCTGAGCGAACATGTTCGCCTCTCCACCCGTCAGCTCTCGGAGTGCGGCCACCTGCAGCTGCTTTACGGAAAAAAGGACTCACCATGACGGCCACCTGCCTGGGAACTGAAGCTTTGTCTTCCCCATGACCTCCCATTTACATCGCTTCGATACGGCTGTTCATTGATCCTTTTTGGAAAATCTCCAAATCTATTATCGTTTCTGGTTTTACGTATTGCATGAATGACGTCAACTTCCCAGATTACAGTTTCAGGTGCTTCCCACACCTGCCATACAACGCATACACCTCGAAAGCAACTGCTAAGAATTGCATCTTCCAATTCTACAATGGATGTTCTGCAAAAAGTGCTAGGATGTTCTGCAGGCTGAGAACCCAGCATGACACCTATTCGCCGATCGCAGCTTCAACATACTTCTGGTGACCTGCACTTGTCCAGTCGCTGAATGACTCGTCTTGCAAGCACGCACGAAAGTGGGCAGTTGGATCAGCCCACGCCTGCCCATGGCCACACAAGGCTCGTATAGCCTTCATAGGCTTTGTCTGCCACCTAGGCACAAGCAAAGAAAGGCAAGCTAGAGTCCTTGAGTCTTCACATTTATTCCACACTGCCTCAATGAGCAAAGGACCTCCAGCCCACTGAGCCAATACGGCAGCGAGGTGGTTTACATTAAGTTGCCAAAACCAAATTGAGCCAAGAGTGGTGAGGAGCAAACATAAGAGTTCCGTTGCACCTGGATGGGTCATTCGCACGTCAAGGCCAAGTATGACAATGCATTCTTGTTCCTAGTAGCGATGCCAGGAGAACCTAGTAGCTTCTTGTTCCTAGTAGTAAGGCCAGGAGCCCCTAACCGCTTCATTGTCCTAGTCGCGATAAGTCTGGAAGCTTGCTTCGTTGCTTGAAACACGTTCAGCTTCAAATCAGCTTCAACATGAGCATGCACGCACGTACCGCACGTACGCAGGCCTTTTTCTACAGCGTCTCCCAGAAATTTGAGAGTCTCTTCACATTACACGGCTTTGCCAGACTGCAAGCTCGCGCTATTCTGGTTTGAGTCGATCAACGAAGTCCTAACAGGATCAGCTTTCTCACATGTTTTTTGATGTCAACCACAAACATCGACTTGAATCTCCTTCAAACTTTTTTTGTAAATGTGCAGTCCTTCTTCTCCAGGCAGCCACGTCCTGTTTTTCCAAACTTGATGAGGAGTTGCTTCAGAGCTGAGACCTGTTCACGCCAGACATGTCGCAATTGCAGACACTTGTAGCATCAGGTCACTGCTCTGCATGCGTAACTGCAAGAATGGAGGTGAGGTGTTGTTGTTAGCAGTCCAAAGATCCATCAATTGTTGCATCATCGAGAATCACCGAGACAACGGCAGAAAGCTTCATGAGTTCTTCCCTGGATTCTTCAGGCTCCTTGCAGGAGCCCTTAGTAGCATTCTTGTTCCTAATAGCTTGTAGTAGTTGTTTTGGGACATTTTGTTGCCGAGGTATCAATCGATATGATTGAATGCAGTCCTTTGCGCCCAAATCCTGCTTCAAAGCCTGTGTCGGGTCTGGTCCTGAGACAACCTGCCATCAAAGTAAATGTCAAGCCATGCAGAACCCCATGCAGAGGGCTAGCAAATCGCGCTGACTCGGAACTTTAGCAGCAACTCCGAGAGACTTATCACTTTAACTTGTCAGATCCACCCATCCGCAGCGCTTTCCCTGTCACAAATGCACGCTGTTGACATGGCTGCGGAAGACAAGAAACTCAGAAGCCCTCTGTTTAACAGTGTGTGATGTTTGTGAAGCGCACTTGTTATTACTTAGAGTCTCCAGTATACTGCTGCAGCAAAAGGCTGCTCTCGATTTCTCCACCTCTGCTTTGTTTGCTTCAACTCGAGCAGATATCGCATCGATTTTCTCTTTCCGCCACCGCCTGAGACTGGAGAGTAAGAAGAGAAAGAGGAAAAACATGAAGGGGCCTTATTAAAGGCCCGGCATTCTTATGACTCCGGGACACAAATTGGAAATCCGCCCGCGCCGAAGGTGCTCAGGGCGTGATCATCCGGATGGCATAAACAACTGTAAGGTACAGGATTACCTGAGGGGAGGGGCTATTTTTTGGCCAAAACCATGGGTTTTTGATAGGTCACGACGGCGGACTTCAAAAGACACTGTTTTTTACAGCACGGAATGGACTAGTTCGTGCACGCGCCTGCCCGGAACCGGCAAGAGAAATGTGAAAAATTATGTTATTTTTTAAAACTTTTGGTTTTTGATTTTCGGTTTTGAGACGCGTATTTTTTCCATGTGTCTTGTCGGGAGGGCGGGGGGGCAGATTTTGTGATTTCGGAGCTGTTTGGGTGACCGCTTTCGCCGTTTTTGTTGCGCAGAAACATTGGTTTTTGCAGCGTTTTTGTACATTGCCGGGGCTTGAGTTCTTTGCGCAAAAATGTAAGAAACCTCGCAAATAGCAGTGCTTTTGGCGACCATGTTGTTGAAAACGTCGCAAATTGCGGTGTTTTTGGACAGCAGGTTCAAAAACATTGTAAATAGCGGTGTTTTGGGCCACGGCAAGCTCAAAAACATCGCTATTTGCAGTGGTGTCTGCCTCACAGAGCATAAAAACACTGTAAAATGCGGTACGTAGTGTCGTTTTTGGCAAGGGCAACCTCAAAGGTGAACCTCGCTATTCGCCGTTTTGTTGGGCAACTTTTCATGGTGGTGCAGGCGGACCTTGCCGCGGAGCGGCGTGAATATACCTGATCAATCAGAAAAACATTTCAATTACATATTTGGGAGATGCAGTGAGAGATGTTGTGACACGGCCGCAATATGATCGAATGTCCCTTGCGAAGCCCGAGAAAAGCAACCACTGCAACCACAGATTCTCAGTGCTGGACTCTCGTGATCTACTTCTGCCTCGTTCCTCCGCCTGCAGACTTAGATCAAAGCAAGAAAGCAAACGCAGGTAGCCAAGCCTCCTCCTCTTTCTTGCCCAGGAGTGCCGGATCTATACAAACAGTCCTGGCAACGAGCTCAACTCCACATATATACAGTATAATACCGTGTGTATATATATCCAGACGGGTTTGCTTAGGACTGTGAGTGTTTTAACCTCCTCACATGTACATTCATACGTTATTCGCGTGTTTTTTGAGCATCCGTTTTCGGAATTTAGCGCGGTATTTACGCGTATTTACCGCGCATGTTTTCGTCGGTCGATGTAAAACACACTGTAATTACGACTTCAGAACTGCTCCATGATTCCAAGGGTTTTGGTCGGATGGCACGTTAACGTTCTGCTCAACTTGCACACCCATACAGAAGAAACCATGTTGCTACACAATGCGAGTCACTGACAGTGGGGCGGGGGGGGGGGGGGGGGGGGGGGGGGTTGGGGGTGGGGTGGGATGCTAACGTTCGGTTCAAGTTACACATTCATATATTCAATGTGGTTGGGTGCCACTAACAGTGAGCACAATTGATGAGCTCAAAACCAGCACCAGGAAAATTGAAAAAAAAACGTCTGGGTCCAATCAGATCTCCCACGCACGTGGGGCTGGTCCCTGGCTGGCCTGGGCTGGTGGCCCTGCTTTGATTTTGAAATGTGGGGCTGGTCCCTGGCCGGCCTGGGCTGGTGGCTCTGCTTTCATTTTGAAATGTGGGGCTGGTTGCTGGGCTGGTGGCTCTGGTTCAAATCTGGTGCTAGGATTCGTCAAATCTGGTGCTTGATTTCGCCAAATCTGGTGCTCGATTTCGTCAAATCTGGTGCTAGAATTGTTCAAATCTGGTGTTCGATTTCGCAAAACCCGGTGGTCTGGTGCTGATTTTCTGGAAATTCTGCCCAAGGCGGAGACACAATCCAACTCAAACTCAAGAATCACTTTCTGGCTGGTGCTCGAATTCGTCAAATCTGGTGCTCGAATTCGTCGAATCTGGTGCTCAAATTCGTCAAATCTGGTGCTCGAATTCATCAAATCTGGCTCGAATTCGTTAAATCTGGTGCCCAATTTCGTCAAATCTGGTGCTAGAATTCGTCAAATCTGGCGCTCAGATTCGTCAAATCTGGTGCTCAATTTCGTCAAAATCTGGTGCTTCTCGTGGTGGTCCTTGGTGGTGCTCGATTTCGTCAAATCTGGCGCTAGAATTCATCAAATCTGGCGCTCGATTTCGCCAAATCTGGTGCTCAATTTCGTCACACCTGGTGCTTCTTGTGGTGGTCCTGGCGGTGCTCGATTTCGTCAAATCTGGTGCTAGATAGAATTCGTCAAGTCAAATCTGGCGCTCGATTTCGCAAAGCCCAGTGGTCGGGCTGGTGCTAGAGCGGGCAAAGCGGAGCAAAAATTGTGCTCTGGCTGGCGCTAGAATTCGTCAAATCTGGTGCTAGAATTCGTCAAATCTGGTGCTCGAATTCGGCAAATCTGGCGCTCGAATTCGTCAAATCTGGCTCGAATTCGTCAAATCTGGCGCTCGAATTCGTCAAGTCACCCCACCATGACCTTTGACAGTGGTGGACAAGCAAGACAAGCGTTCACCATCTCATATCATTTGCAAGGCACACACACATACACGCCTTACGGAAGGGCACTGGGTATGGGGCAGGGCCAGGCAGGGGATGGGTGAAGTGAGGTATGATTCTGATCATGGTGAGATCTAAAACTTTCAATCTGGGTCACGCTCAGCAATTCATTGACCAAAATGTCCCAAAACCAAGAGCCATTTCCAGCAATTCGCTGGCGCTCGTTTTCATGAACACGCTTCATAAAAACCCTATTGTTGAACTGTTACTGGGCCTAGCCACATTGAATTCATATAGGAGAAATTCTTCTACGTTGCCACACAATACTAGTACTCGCGCTGTGTTGCGCATGCACGTTTGCTTGCACACCTGCGTATGGAAACCATTCATATCTAACCTAAGTTAGATATCATCCTGCAGGACTAGCCCCACAATATTCCAATATCATTGAGGTGGTTCACCTGGGGTCCATGTAGGTCAATCTTCCACACATGGAGTGTCTGAGAGTCTGAGATCGGTGTCCGTTCTCCATGTCGCCCAAAAGAAACGCAGGACTTGGTGAACCTCGAAGTGCAGATTTCGTGGCAGGTCCAGCGCTTTGTGAACCTCGACGCGCAGATTTCGTGGCAGGCACAGCACTCTGTGACCCTCGATGTGCAGAGTGTGGCAGGCGCAGCGCTTTGTGAACCTTGGCGTGCAGATTTCGAGGCAGGCGCAGCGCTTGGTGAACCTCGAAGTGCAGAGTTCGTGGCAGGCGCAGCGCTTTGTGAACCTCGACGTGCAGATTTCGTGGCGGGCGCAGCGCTTGGTGACCCTCGAAGTGCAGATTTCGTGGCAGGCGCAGCGCTTTGTGAACCTCGAAGTGCAGATTTCGTGGCAGGCGCAGCGCGTTGTGCCCTCAGATGCTCACCTCTCGCTCTCACTCACACTCGCACTCACACTCACACACGCTCGCGCTCACACTCACACTCTCTCACTCACACTCACATTCACACTCACACTCACTCACTCACATTCACAATGTGCAATCCACACTCGCTCTCCCTCACACTCACAATGTGGCATCCACACTCACTCTCACTCTCACTCTCACTCTCACTCGCACTTGCACTCACACTCACACTCACACTCACTCACTCTCCCACTCCCACACCAACTCTCACTCTCACCCACACTGACTCACACCCACCTTCACACTCACTCACTCTCCCACTCTCACTCTCACTCACTCTCCCACTCTCACTCTCACTCACACTCACTCTCACTCTCACTCACTCTCACTCTCACTCTCACTCTCACTCTCACTCTCACTCTCACACTCACTCTCACCCACACTCAATCTCGCTCACACTCACACTCACCCACACTCAATCTCGCTCACACTCACACTCACTCACTCACTCACTCACTCACTC